AACAAACAAACAAACAAACAAACAAACAAACAAACAAAAGCAGATTTTGGAAAGGACAAAAGAGTTCCAGGGATCTAGGGAGCAGAAACTGGAGAAAAGACTCTCCAAGGTCTTGACATCAGAAAGACTGAATTTTTACTATTTTCTGTCTTTTAGTCACTCTGCGTAAGATTCAGATTCCAGGGGAAAATGGTAAGATCTTGGCCCTGGTGCCCACCTTTTGCCCAGTGGGTGTTAGGAGTTGTGCCAAGATAATACGGCATGGAGGAGGGGCTGTTCTTCAAAGGAAACACTGAAAAGAGTGGTGAAGGGATGCTAGTCAGGTAAAAACAGTAGATACCCGTTATTGATAACAGCACACACTCATGGGGACTTACTGTGTCATAGGCACTGTTTCGAGTACTTAATGTACGTTAACTTATGTAATTCTCACAACAATTCTCTGAGGAAGTTAAATGACATGCCTAAGGTAACACGTACAATTAGAAGTGGTTGGGGGCCGGCCCCGTGGCGCACTCTGGAGAGTGCAGTGCTGGGAGCACAGCAACGCTCCTGCCATGGGTTCGGATCCTATATGGGAGTGGCTGGTGCTCTCACTGGCTGAGCGCGGTGCAGACGACACCAAACCAAGGGTTGTGATTCCCTTACCGATGACGAAAAAAGACAAAAAAAAAAAAAAAAGAAGGGGGGGGGATGTATATTTGAACCCAGGCATTCTGGCTCTAAGGTCAGTACTTACCATTACCTTATGCTGCTTCCACAGAAGCCTAAGATAATTTCAAAAAGAACAAAAAAGCTAGCTCCCCAGAGAAGTATGCAAAAAAAGAGGAGAGTTGAATCCATCATTAGAGAGCAGGAAAAGAAGCAAATTCTTAGAAGTGTGGTAGGACAAATGTAAGAATTAAGGTATTTCTTAGATTGACAACTAATGTTTTTAATTATGGCCAATTAATTTAACCTTGACTCCTCAGCACTCATTCTACCCCGAGCTTAGTCCAAGGCTAAAATCAAGTCAGTCTTTGAATCCCATTTCCCTTACCAGTGATTGCTTTAGAAATGGTCAAGTGAAAAGAGGAAAGTCTGAGGACTTCTTGGTCAGGTTTGTTTGCTTCTGAAAAAGAGATGCAAGAAAGAGATATGTGGTTCCCTTTCTGTTACTCTCCTCCCCCGAATCCTAGAACTATGATGCAAGTCCTAAAACTGCTGTAGTCATCTTGCTCACATCTAGAAGTTGATACTAACACATGGACGATGGTGTGGCCAAGATAGCTACTGAGAAGAGCAGCTGTGGGATTCATGATGGACCTCATGTTATGTGGGAGAATGTATTTCCATATTATTTAAGCTAGACTGAATTGTTCTTTTCTAACACTTGCAACCAAAGTCATCCTGACACATTTTCAATACCTCATTATTTCATCTGTAAAACAAGGGCATTGTCCTAAATAACTTTTAAGGCTCTTCTTGGGTTTAAAATAAAAATCCTTCCTAACTAAGCCCCTGCTGTGAATCAGCTCTGAGTTTGAGCACTTAGGCTATGTTAATTTATATG